ACTTTAACCCAGGTGCCCCGAGGGTGCCGCTCCCACTGTTGTGCGCATGCTCCTGAAGTCTCCAGACTCTCACCGGAAGCAGCAATTGTCACTAGGTGAAAACAGTTTGTTACTCTCCTGCAGGTGACCCAGCAATGAGCAGAGCGTTTGTGGAATATTGAGATTCGGATTGGGGAGCAGAACTCCCCCAGGTGTGCCTCTCTGGCTGAGGAAAAGGGGGAAGCAGGTTTTATGGGAATCTCGGGCTTGAGATTGGGGCCACAGGAATCCCAAGAGCTTTGTGGTCTAGTTGATCCAAGGTCGCACTGAATCTGTGGGGCATTTTGTCTCCAACAGGCACCGGTAGTTTCTGCAGGTGGTGAATTTCAGGGATTGTTCTAAGATGTACCTTGATTTCATTCTTGTTGTATTCGTGGAATGGGGTTCAACGAGCAAGTCAAGAACAGAGGATTTATCTTAAAGAAAAGGGAACTGATCTGTGGATTTGATGGGCAGTTAGGGCATCTGGAGAGGGAGCCCTCGTTTGTAACTATGGGGCCAGGATGGTCACTTCAGCCTCGTCCTCCGTTGTGCCTCGTCCAGGTTGAAATAGAACCATCTCAGCACCCCAGGTTCCTCAGAGCCCGGTTTCAGTGGGAGAGTGACCGGAGACCACAGCTGATTTTTGCACAGCTGGTGGGTGGGGTGCAGCTGGTCACCCACCACTTTCTCTGATATCATCTGGTACATCCCCGCCCAGCACATTGCTTTGCAGCCCCGCAAGGCCCCTGTCCACTGGGAGTTTGTGAGAAATGCAGATTCCCGGCTCCCTAACCAGAGTCTCGATCATTCTTGGCTCCCAGCCACCACCCGCAGCACACTCGTCCCTTTTTTGTTTGGATTTGGTTTTGGGACTGGCATTCCCTCTGAAGACTTGACTAGAAATACAGTCTGTGAGGAAGCCAAAAACCTATGACCCCCTACTCGGTTAACCCTGTGTCTCCCCCATTCTTCTTCCATTTCAGCTCTCCAGTGTGGTTCGCAGTCAAGTGGGAGCCCTGAGTGACCATCTTGCACATCCGTCCGTAAGTCATCAGGAAGGACTTCAGCTGTTCTGCCTTTGTGTGCGGCCCAGACATTACGCATCTGCTTCCGAACTGCCCAGAGCTCAGTTTCTACTCCGGACCCTCTTCCTGAAGTGACCTTTGGTGATAGTGTCCTAAACCACCATAAGGGGAAGCAAAGAAATGGTGAGTTCTGTAGGGATTTGGTGCTGAGTGGGAATTCATCTGATGGAAGTGGGTTTGGGTTTATGGACAACTGGGTCATCCTTGCCCTCAGTGGGTGAGGCTGGGTAAGAATTTTGGGGGAATCACTAATGTGTGGGACTCCTGACGTGGCGCTGTTGGTTAATGCGTCACACTGCAAAGCCATTTGAACTACAAGGTCAGCAGTTCAAGCTCACCAGCTGCTCCTCAGAAACCCTATACAGGGTCGCTATGGGTCAGAATCAGTGGACGGTACTTCACAACAACAGCAACAACAACTGATGTGTGAGGGGTTGTGGTTCCTCAATAAAAAATAAAGGTGACAGATAAGGCCCAGGGACAGAACCGTAGCAGGCACCCTGAGATCCTGTTCCTCCGTCACTAGATCCTTCCTCTGTGTAGATGTGGCTCTTCTGCATCTCGATGCAGGAATCGCTTTCTTTATGTGACTTTGTGGCTGACACTAGGGAGCATTAGCATCCCCATGCTGGACCTTGGTGCTCTGTGTAGAAGGAGAAGTCTCCCGACCAGAGCCGAAACCTGGAACAGCGGTTGATGTTGGAAGCTAGTACGTGGCCCTCCAGAGCCAGCCCAGCCCCAGCTCTCTTGACTTTCCCCAAGTACTGGACGATTTTGTGGGCAGTTTTCATGTATGAAACCATTTTATTGTAAATGTGTATGGTTATAAAAATTATTTGTGAAATTCTAAATTTTAACAAAGTTCAATTTACTCTTTTATTTATTTGTATATCTTGCTGTTGACGTTCTATGTGGAAAATCATTAACAAACTCACGGTCACTTAGGTTTCCTTCTACGTTGTTTTCTTGAAGTTGTATAATTTTGCATTCGTACTTAAGGCTTTGATCCATGTTGGCGTGAATATTCGTCAGTGTTATAAGACTTCTGTGTAGACTCTTGTTTGGCTGGTTCGTTGGTTTCTACCTAGTGACTGTATAGAGGTATTACAGGACTGTTTATTGAAAAGGGTATCATGTTTTCCTTGAATTGCCTCTGGTACTTACTCAACATCACAGGATTCTATTGTAGTCTTTGTTTGTGGACTTTCTGTGTTCTGTTTCCATTGATGCATTTGTCTAGTGTTTTGCAAAAACTTCAATACCGTGATATTGTAGCTTCAGAGTTTAATGAATTTGCTGATAGTCACAAAATGAATGTTGGGATTTTGACTGGGATTCTACTGGAGGGGATAGATCACCTTGGGTAGAACTGGCATCTTCACAATACTGAGACAAGATGCTGTCAGTGAGGAAGTGAATGTGGTGAAGGGACAAGGCAAATGGCTGTTCCCTAGAGCAGACCTTGGGTAGAACACAGAACCTCGAGTTACACACCTGTGACTTCTCAGTGTTGGGGAATGGCAGCCTCACCTTGTGTTCTTGCACCTAGTGGAGTGCAGGCTACCTTGCTGATCAGGAATGTATGTGATGTTCTAGGACCCAGTGGTTGTTGAAGATGTGGCCGTGGTCTTCACCCAGGAAGAATGGGATTTTCTGGATTCTACTCAGAGGAAACTCTACAGAGACGTGATGGTGGAAACTTTCAGAAATCTGGATTCAGTAGGTATGAATGGCATCTTTTCTTTAGTTCCTTATGTGTATAATAATATTTAACTCATCAACATTGCTCAATTAATGTGGGATGAGCAATGGGAAGACATTGTTCCATTAAAGAGGCACCTCCTTCTCATAGGAAGGTCACATGCCCGCGCTTCTCCATAAACATAGAGCTGTTTTATGTAGTAGAATAAGTGTTCATTTTTCTTCTGAATAAAATAGCTGAGGCTCTGTGAGTGTTGTTAAGTGTAAACATTGGTTTCAGGGGTCAGTTTCAGGCACTGATGATCTCTCTGTTTAGCTCCTGATTCCCATGTGTGTCTCTATCACTCAGTCTTCACATAAACATTTCTTAGTAAATTCCTCTTTAACCATAACCAGACATATGACTGCACGTCTCTATTCACGGGAGCCTTTTTATATTTCACTAATTATTCCTATTTGTTTCATATTGTGGAACTCAACTTCAATTATGGGGTCAGTGTCTCAAAACTGTCACGATGAAGAAAAGTTACCCAGTGAACTAATAATGGTGCAATTCATGAAGAACCACACCTGGTCCTGTATGGTAAATGAATTCACAGCATCACCTGGCAGCAAAGAGCATGAAAACCAGGGCACACATTTGAGGTGAGTGCTATTCCATCAAAGAAAAAGAGTCACTCACTTCAAAGTCCCAAGGTGTCATGACATCAAATTTCAACACACAAAAGACTTGAAGTGGACACTTGTCTTGTTTATGTCACAATTATTTGAGGCTATGTCAGAGTGTACACGGGAATATCTCAGTATCTTTCAATTCCGTTTTTTTACGGCTTTGAGGTCATGTTGTCAGTATTTATAAATCTGGACTGGTGCTTCAAATGTAGTAATGTTCAGTTATTGCTGCCCAGGAAAGGTGATGATGCATGCCTTTAATCGTAGTGATATTTTTCCCGTCGAGTTGTAAACATTGCACAGCGTGCCATTCAAAGATGGTGACCGACTCCCCAGCTCCAAATGTTTTTGCTCTACCCATCTCCCATTGGGGGTGGTTGGTTGTATTCTTGGCTGGATTGTGGGGAGCAACAGTCTATCCAATTGGTGGAATTGATTGTCATCTGAACCCAATACCATGGAAAGTTTCTTAATCAGATCAAATTGTGACAGATAAAAGACACTTGTCTTGTTTATGTCACAGAATGTTTTGAAACTCTCTGATCTTATTGATAGTTTCTGGAAAACATAAAGAGTAATTGTGTTGGTGCTAAATGAAACATGAGACAAATGAGAGCTGAAACCATGTATACTCACTGTCTGGTAATTGTGAAATGGGAACAAACTTATCTGGAACACCATATTGCCTTTTTCTTTTCTTTTCTTAATGCTTTTTATTGGGGATTAGTTAAAGGTTTATAGTACAGCTCATCAGTTTGACCTTCACACTGCCTGTCATTCACAGAAGTCATACAATAGAGAACGTCTATGAGCGTTGTGAAGGCAGCCAGTGTGGGGAAACCTCCAACACGTTACCAGGTCTTACTGTGCTCCAAGGGAAACCCACAGAAGGAAACCCTGTGAAATGCTGCAAATCTGGAAAAGGCTTCATGGATGACTCATCCCATAGCCATCCTACCAGGTCACTCACCGAATGTGATACCTGTCTGTGTAAGGAACGTGGGGATGCCTGCAGATGTTCCTCTCATAAAATCACTCCTATGACAACTCCTACAGGAAAAACAAACCTTAAATATAAGCTCTGTGTGAAAGATTTCACTTGTATCTCAACCCTTAAGAGTCCCCTCACAACAGTCCCTGGTGAAGAATGTTACGAATTTAATGACTGTGGAAAATTTTTCTCATCCTCAAAAGATAGCAGAGTTCAGAAGTATGAATGTAAAGAGAGTTGTAAAATCTATCATTGCTCATCTCTCATTTTAAATGAATGTTTTTATCAGCCTCATAAATGTCAGAAATGTAAGAAAACTTTTAGTGAGGCGTCATTACTCATGCAACATGTACAAGTTCACAGAGGAGAGAGGCTTTATGAATGTAAAGAATGTGGGAAAGTCTTCAGACAGCGCTCACACCTCATTAGACATATGCGAATCCACAGTGGAGAGAAGCCCCATCAATGTAAGAAGTGTGGGAAAGCCTTTAGAAGCTTCTCAGACCTCATAAGACATAGAAGAATCCACAATGGAGTGAGACCCTATGAATGTAAGGAGTGTGGGAAAGCCTTTAGAACAACCTCGGCCCTGTCTGCACATAGAAAAATCCACAGTGGAGAGAGGCCCTATGAATGTAAGGAATGTGGGAAAACCTTTACAGTAAACTCAGCCCTCACTGTACATAGAAAAATCCACAGTGCAGAGAAGCCCTATGAATGTAAAGTGTGTGGGAAAGCCTTTAGAGTAACCTCCGCACTCTCTCAACATAGAATAATCCACAGTGGAGAGAGGCCCTATGAATGTAAGGAATGTGGGAAATCCTTTAGGGAGGCCTCAAACCTCACTAACCATAAAAGAATCCACATTGCAAAGAGGCCCCATGAATGTAAAGTATGTGGGAAAGTCTTCAAGAAGGCCTCACACCTCACTGTCCATAGAAGAATCCACAGTGGAGAGAAGCCCTATGAATGTGAGGACTGTGGGAAAGCCTTTAAAAGTTTCTCAGACCTCGTAACACATAGAAGAATCCACAGTGGAGAGAGACCCTATGAATGTAAGGTGTGTGGGAAATCCTTTAGAGCAACCTCGGCCCTCTCTGTACATAGAAGAATCCACAGTGGAGACAAGCCTTATGAATGTAAGCAGTGTGGGAAAACCTTTACAGTAAACTCAGCCCTCATTGCACATACAAGAATCCACAGTGGAGAGAGGCCCTATGAATGTAAGGAGTGTGGGAAAGCCTTTAGAATCGTCGCAGACCTCACAAGACATAGGAGAATCCACAGTGGAGAGAGGCCTTATGAATGTGAGGAGTGTGGGAAAGCCTTTAGATCAGCTTCCAGTCTCACTGCACATAGAAGAATTCATACTGGTGAGAGGCCTTATAAATGTAAGGAATGTGGGAAAGCCTTTACTGAATCCTCAAGCCTCACAAAACATAGAGGAATCCATAGTGGAGAGAGGCCCTATGAATGCAAAATGTGTGGGAGAGTCTTCAAGAAGGCCGCAAGCCTCAGTAACCATAAAAGAATCCACATTGGAAAAAGGCCTCATGAATGTAAAGTATGTGGGAAAGTCTTCAAGAAGGCCGCGCACCTCACTGTCCATAGAAGAATCCACAGTGGAGAGAAGCCCTATGAATGTGAGGACTGCGGGAAATCCTTTGTAAGCGACTCAAACTTCATAAGACATAAAAGAATCCATAGTGGAGAGAAGCCCTATGCATGTAAGGAGTGTGGGAAAGCCTTTAATGTAACCTCAACCCTGACTGCACATAGAAGAATCCATAGTGGAGAGAGGCCTTATGAATGTAAGGAGTGTGGGAAATCATTTAGAGTAACCTCAACCCTCAGTGTACATAGACGAATCCACAGTGGAGAGAGGCCCTATCAATGTAAGGAGTGTGGGAAAGCTTTTAGAGTAATGTCAGGCTTCATTGCACATAAAAGAATTCATACTGGTGAGAAGCCCTATGAATGTAAGGAGTGTGGAAAGTCCTTTATTCAGGCCTCCAACCTCACAGTACACATGAGAATCCATGGCGAAGAGAGGCCCTAAGAATGTAAAGAATGTGCAAAGGCCTTTAGCCATATGGTTCCCTAAACATATTGTAATGTCAGTGGGTAGAAGCCCTAGGAATGTGGGAAAGCCTTTAGGGATTCCTCACACCTCATTACACATGTGCAAACTTACCTTGGAGCCCTGCCTTATGAGTGTACACAGGTGGTGGAAAAGTCTTTATGTACGCAGGCCTCAAACCTCACTAAGAAGAATCTACAGTGGGGAGAGGCTATCTGAAAGTAAACAATGTGGTAAATCCTTCATTAATGCCTCATCCCTCACTGTACATATGAGATCTGTCAGTGGAGAAAGTCACTGTGAGTGTAAGGAATATGGAGAAACCACTCCTAGTTGTTCATCCCTCACTAAACAGTGAACTCACACTTAGTTAGCAGAGGCCTTATGAATGTAGCCAACTTGGGAAAGCCTTTGTTGATGCCTCATCCCTCACTGTACATATGAGATCTCACAATGGAGAAAGTCACTATGAGTGTAAGGAATGTGGAGAAACCACTCCTAATTGTCCATCCCTCACTAAACAGGTGAACTCACCGTTGTTGTTGTGATGTGCCGTGGCGTTGCTTCCGACTCATAGAGATCCTGCACAGAGTTTCCCAGGCTGTAAATCTTTACGGGAGCAGAAAGCCTCATCTTTCTCCCGTGGAACAGCTGGTAGTTTCGAACTGCTGACAGAGGCCTTATGAAGGGAAGCATCTTGAGAAAGCATATGTTTGTTACTTAAACCTCACTGCATTTTTAAGGACACACAGTGGAGAGGAATGTGCAAACTAATGTAAGGAATGCGTGAGAACTTCCCATGATTCTTCAAAACTTCCCATTACTCTTTCCATAAGGAGTGAATCCTTATGGATGTAAGGGATGGAGCTGAGGGTTAAAACACTACAATAGATGAGAGCAGTGCTGTGAGTGTGAGGAACGTGGGAAAGCCGTTAGTTAGTCTCACATACCAGAAGTCAGAGCTGAGGGTGTTTCAGAAATGGGATGTTCTATCCACACTGCCATGAAAAAAAAGCACTGAATGCGGGCCGAGTTTCTCAGTGACACACCACAGCGTCATTGTAACTGCAGGGACGTGTCCTCATCAGCGGTGTTCATTGTCTACGTACACTTGTCATTTTGCCTTTCTAACACTTTGTCTGTTATAATAAGGACAATGACCAACCTTGATCAAATGCGGGTTATCTTTTTTTTAAAGGATTTTATTGATGTAGCATATCCTATGTATAGTAAAATATACTGATTATGAATTTGGATTAAGACTTTCAATTTCATATTTAGTACATTTCCTTCATAATTATTGTTTCTCATAGGACAACACTTTGAGATGCAATTCTGTTTTTTCATCATACTTTGCTGTTAATGTACTATCAATTGATTACTTGTAGGAAGAGCAGGACGTGTGTGAAACCCACTCTGAGGCAGTTCTCAAACCAAGGAACACCTTGATGAGAACCGCAAGGAAAACCTTGCATGCCAAAGGTTATGGGAGTAAAACACACTGACCAGGTGGCTGGGGGAATAATCTAAAATGATTAGAAACTATGGGTGCCTAACTGTTATCTGGTAAAATCAAGCCTTAGCTTTGTTGTGATGTCTGGATACGCCTTCTGCCTAAGACTGTACGTGAAGCTGTAGAGTAGTTAATAAAGTCGCTCTTGACTGACCATCTCGAGTCCCTTGTCGTTTTCGTTCCCTGTTCGCCTCTGGAGACCCCCACCCCCACCCCCAGTTGTACAGGCTGGTCCTGCAATTACTGTCGTATTTACCAAATTCTATGTTTCAATCAATTTTTCTATGTTTATTAACAGGAATTCTAAAAAACTTTGCCCAAATTTGTTGCCAACATTGGAAATGAATGCACACGCATACACAGGTGTGGTCTTTAGGTACAAGTATGTGCATGTTTGTATGTTTTGTGTGGTACCCACATATATCACTTCTGCAGCGAGGGAACAAGTATTTAGACTTCTTAAACCTCTCCAGACAGCACATGCCATTGTTTTACTAAAAGGTTTAGGGCTGTATTCTCAGGGATCCATTTTGTAATTCAGTATATCATCTTTCGACTTCTAAAACATGTGAGGTCTTAAACCCCTGAGGGTTTATATTGATGATATAACTTTTGATTTATACTCCTATAGACAAAAAGATAATGCCAGAAATCAAAACATTCCAAGAAGAAGCACGTATGAGTTCATTTGTAGCCAAAGGATACGTCAAACTGGTAATAAATGCCGTGAAAAGTGTCTACAAAATCCCACACTAATCTCTCCGTGTCCCAGAGGGACCACTAAAGCCAGTAGTTACATTCATAACTCTAATGAGGCTTAAGAGTTCTTAATCACAACAGGAATAAATGAAAAGTCACTTTTATATGAAGAGATTTATGTTCATCGGTCAGCCAGGATATGGAAGCTCCATAGAATATGAGATGGTTCTTGTTTTAGGTGAGAATGTAATCTCATTCCTCAGCCCTAAAACTGGAGTAATCCTGGTGTGTAAAATATTTCTCATGACTACACGAATTTTCATCACAGTAAAAGATGTCATTCTCTCCCGCTGAAGCCAAGTCTCTAGGTTTCCATCCTCACAGCTCTGCAGAATTTCATTTGTGTAACATCCAGGAAGGCCCACTCTTATGGCTTGTCTGCTTAGACCTAAAATGCCCCATATCCTTTGGGTCAGCAAGGTGTCAAATATTCATTGTGGAGAATGACAAAGTGTAACGGTGACACAGCCTTGGGAAACTGAAATCTCATAGGGATTTTACACAGAATTTGATATTTGCCTAAGGAATTTGCTTAGTGGAATGGTGACAAGTCACTCAACTATGCCAAGAAATTTGGAGGATAGCTACATGGCCAACCGATGGGACAGATACACGGGACAGATACACATTTTTGCCCTGTTCCATAGGAGACCCAAAATTATGTGGAAATCATGGGATAATATCATTAATATTACATCCAAGTAATAATTTGCTGAAGAGCATTCAAAACTGGTTGCAACAGTTCTTCAACAGAGAATGGCTAGATATTGAGGCTGAATTAAGAAGAGGATCTGGATTACTGATGTCATTACGGATGTTCAATGGATCTTGATAGAAAGCAGAGAATTCCAGAAAGATGATTGTTCTATTGACTGCCAACTCTTTGGAGTGTCTGGATCATGAAAACTGTGGGTAACATTGTGAAGAATGGGAATTCCAGGACACTTAGTTGAGCTCATGAGGAACCTGTACATAGACCATAAGGCAGTTGGTCAAGCAGAAAAAAGGGATGGTGAATGGTTTAAAATTAGGAAAGGTGTGTGCCATGGTAGTGTCCTTTGACCTTTTTTTATTCTGTCTGTGTGTTGAGCCAATAATATGAGAATTTGTGTTATATGAAGACTGTAGCATCAAGAATGGAGGAAGACTTACTAACAAGCTCCAGTATACAAAGATACGACTGCATGCTCACAGTAAAGAGCACTTACCATACTTACTGATGAAGATCAAAGACCACAGCCTTCAGTATTAACTGTATGTCAATGTAAAGAAAACAGAAATCCTCACCACTGGACCCCAATAAATGACATCATAAGAAATGTAGTCCAAGCAAGGTGTTTTCAATCACTGCACATGCATGTGGAAGTTTGGACAATGAATAAGGTAGACTATAAAAGAACTGATGCATTTGAATTGTGGAGTTGAAGCTGGATATAGAAAAATACCATGGACTGTCTGAACAAGTAAATTTGTGTTGGAGGAAGCACAACTATAATGCTCCTTAGAATCCAGGATGGCCTCACTTCATCTCTCAAAGTTTGGACCTGTCAGAAAGAAAGACACCATGCTTGGTAAAGTGACAGTTGAGGGAAAAAGAGGAAGACACCCAGGAGGTGGACCGACACAAGATGGAGCGGTGGTGCGGGACCAGGCAGTGTTTCTGTTTTGTGTAAATCCCTAAGTCTGAATGGACGCAACAGCATCTAATGACAACAGGGCTGTGTGCTATTTCTCAGAGGTCAATCTTATCAGGGAATTCCATTGTTCAGTGCTCACAGTCATGGTTCTATGCCTCTTAGGGGACTGCGAGGATGACAAGATTTCAGAGTAATCTGTAGAGCACAGTCATTAGAAAATGGGAATCTAACTTAATGTCGGTCTGGAAACAAGGCAAGCCATTCATGACATGAGCCGCTGACGCTCCACGTGTATTGGTATCAGCTACAGAAACTTGACAATTCTCGGGATATCTAGATTCTTGTACTGCCTGCCACATTTGATCCATTTTTTAAAAAAAATATTTCATTGTGAATTATGTGATAGTTTACATGGCAGAACATTAGTTTTACATTCATCCTGTCATATATCATTTCATTGTCATGGTTACAATCCGCTCCATGCATCATCAACCAACCAAAGAGTATACACTGCAAGCCTGCACCCCGGTTGTCAGCACACAGCCCCTCTCCCTCTCTGGGTCTAAAGTCCCCAACTGCTCCATCTCTCCACGTCATCATTATTTTCATAGCCTTTTTCTATAAAAGTAACGTAGTCCTGGTATTGCACTATAGGATAACTACTGGAGTGCAAGGTTGATTTGAACTCCAAGGTTGGTGGTTCAAATTCACCATCCGCACAGTATTGCTGTGGGTTGGAACCGAGCCGGTGGCATTTATCAACAATGACACAAGCAATAAGTGGCAATGAGAAAACAGAGAATGATACAATTGAGCTTTTCAAAGGTGACTGACAATGTACAAATGCAAAGTAGTCCAGAAGAACGTTCCTTATTGTTGGTAGGTGGGCCTGTACCTCCTGATCTCCTAACATTGAGACAACAGGAATACCCAGGGTTTTCGGTTGTCACTTTGTATGGGGAGGGGCTAGGGTAACCCCATGACCCCTCCAACCACTCCCCTCCTTTTGTTACAAAACGTCTACCTTTACATTGGCAACACTCACAATCAGTCCTGATAGCAGTTATTCA